GCTCTATCCACTGAGCCAAACCGGTTTCGGCATACTCAACCTTTTTGTGCCTCAGTTTCCTCTTCTGCAAATGAGGATAATGATATTTACTATCCCTAGATTATTGTGAGCATTAAGAGTCAATCTAGGCAAAGCACTGAAAATAGTTTCTGAAATAGAGTAAGCACTCTTTACCTGTTTACTGTAGCCTGTCTGCTAACTGCTAATGTCCAACTGGCTTCCTCTCAACTCCCAAGTGGCTTTTGTGTTGGTGTTCCAGGGCCTAACAGACCCTGCCCCAGTCTCAGGCCCAGCCCACCTCCTTCCCTGCCAGAGTGCTTTACCGTCCACAGTGAGGTTGATGGTCTTCTCCCCGGTGAAGGTGTCATCCGTGATGGAGATCTCCACCTCATAGGTGCCCTCATCGGTGAGCTGCAGGTCGCTGAGAAGCAGGGAGCCATTTTCAAAGAGGCGGATGCGGTCTCGATAGTCAGCGCGCAGGTTGCCAATGACCTCTGTGCCAATGGACTGCACCACGGTCACTGGCTTGTCCCGCTTCAGCTGCCACTTCACCACGGGCTTGTCGCTGCTGGTGCTGCTGTACTGCACGGAGAGCAGTGCGGACTTCCCCACCGTGCCATGGATCAGGCGGACCTGGCTGGTGATGTTCACCCCCTGCAGGGGCCCTATGAGCAGAGGCCCATGGGGAGAGGGCGGCATCAGCCCCTTGGCTCCCACCTTTAATTCCTCTGATCTCTTCAAGTCTCTCCATTCATTCTTTGCCCTTCACGGGTGTCCTTCCTTCTTACTCTCTGGTGCCTTCTCTTCTCCCCCTGTAGCTCTGGGCCCCTCTGCTCCTTCATCATCCCTCACACCCATCCCATTGCCCTTCACTCTTCTTCCGTCTGGCCCTCTGCCTCTGGTAGTTTTCCTCTGGAAGAGTCCAGCTCACCCACACCACTTATAGAAATATTTATTGAGCACTTACCATGTGCCAGGCACTGTTCTGTATCCTTGGGATATGTCATTGAGCAAAACAGACAAACATCTTTTATCCTCTGTAGCTTATAAGTCATTAGACCTTAGGGTGAATTATATGTCATTGAGCAAAACAGACAAACATCTTTTATCCCCTGTAGCTTATAAGTCATTAGATCTTAGGGTGAATTTGTCAGGAAAATATATTTTATTGATTTTTTTACAGAGAGGAAGGGAGAGAGATAGAGAGTTAGAAATATCGATGAGAGAGAAACATCGATTAGCTGCCTCCTGCACATCTCCTACTGGGGATGTGCCCGCAACCCAGGTACATGCCCTTGACCGGAATCGAACCCGGGACCTTTCAGTCCGCAGGCCGACGCTCTATCCACTGAGCCAAACCGGTTTCAGCATGTCAGGTTTTCTTGATTGAAAATTGGGAGAGTGAGGTGGGGTTGGGTGATGGAGAAAGCATGGGGACACAGATTCACAAAGAAAGGAGTATGCCACATGATGGTGCACTAAAGGGGAAGTTTAGGCGTCTGAAGACAACTGGGCCACCTTCCAGTTAGACCAAGAGCCTCTCCTATCCTTGCCCCAGCTGCACGTAGCATCTTACTAGGCCTACCCAGTGCAAAACAGCCCTGCAATGGGGTAGATGATTTTGGAAATTCACCCAAACTCCAGCCCAATTTGTATTCCCTTTAGAAGAGGGATTTAGGATGAGTAAAACAAAAAGTTTGGGATCAGAAGGCCTTGTAAGATCGGGTTCCACCTGCTCTTTCTGCCAATTAAACCTGGTTCCTCAGGATGAAAACACTGAGAAGCTATAGCATATGGATTGCCCTAGGCCCGTGGTCGGCAAACTGCGGCTCGCGAGCCACATGTGGCTCTTTGGCCCCTTGAGTGTGGCTCTTCCTAAGCCTTAGGAGTACCCTAATTAAGTGAATAACAATGTACCTACCTATATAGTTTAAGTTTAAAAAATTTGGCTCTCAAAAGAAATTTCAATCGTTGTACTGTTGATATTTGGCTCTGTTGACTAATGAGTTTGCCGACCACTATCCTAGGCCTTACTCTCCTCTAGGTGGGAGTCTTCCTCCCGCCATGTCTCACAGGGGTATGTATGGGTGTTCAGAAGTGAATGGAGCAGTCTTTCTCAGAAGCTGACAAAGAGAGCATTTTGCCAAGGAAACACTGGTTTCCCAAAATTCTTGCCAAAACTGGAGTCTGTATTAAGCTCAGGGTTCCACAACTTTCAAGGGACACAGAGAACTGGGACAGGAGCCAAAGCAGGACACAGAAACGAGGAAGTGGCTAACAATTGTGATCCACAGTAGAAATAAAAGGGACTAGGACTATTCAACCTTGAGAAGTGATTAACTTAATTACTGTCCTCTAGTCTCTGAGGCATCGTTATGTAGGAAGTGTCTGTTCCCACCCAAGGCTGAACAAAAGGAAATTGACTGATCAACTTAAACAGTGCCACACTGGGTCAGGTAGGTGACTTCATCAAGTAGGATTTTGACCTCCTGTGACACCAAGCAATGTCAAGCTGTAAAGCACAAGAATGTATCTGCCAATAGCCTCGGATTCCCTTAATAGCCTCTTCCTTTAAAGACACCACCATCTACTCATTTTTATGTGCTAATTTTGCTTTGCAAAAGTTTCCAATTACCATGTGAAGGGGATTTTAGGGCTAAAAGGATGGAACCCAGGCAAGGGACTTCTTCTTGGGTCCATAGAAGAGGATGGAATAGTTATAAGATCCCAAAGGGTAAAATCTTGCAAATCAGATTATCTAGATTTGTGGCATGCTGTGTTTATGTCTGTAAAATACTGTCCCGGCCTCTAGGAAAGCCTTAGTTGCATGTTCCATGAGTTGGAAAATTTTATTAATCCATATTAGGGACAGAGCATTAAATATTGAGTGTTACTTATCTGAGCCTGGCTTGGTGGTTGCTGCCATAAACACAAGGGATTAAGGTAAATCTTTGGGAGCTTGGGTGACATGGTCCAAGCTCCCCTTTTAGTGCCAATCTTAAAAACTATATTTTCCAGCCTCCCTTGATGTTAGGTTTGGCCAGGTGACTGCGTTCTAGGTGATGAACTAGTGAAAGTGATAGGTACCCTCTATACGCTGGCTTAGGACCCCCCACACCCATTTAAATTTTTTTCTACCTAGAAGAAATGGAGATAAATCTCAGGGTGACCATTGGAAACACATGTCAAAGTTGACAGAGCTCCATCATCTTTGTCCCTGAAAAACTTCATGGAGCAGAGTCCTTCCTCATCCCAGGCCTAGCTGGAACTTCACCATACCACTATATGGTTAACACCAGTAACTTAAATTTTGGAATTTATTTGTCAAAGAAGTTGGCATTTTCCTAATTGATATATTGAAGATGGCAGAAATTTCTTATAGAATGTCAGCTCTTTATTGCTCTCAGATCACAGCAGTACAATGGCCTGACCCTGCACTGATTTCTTACCTGTCATAGGTCATAACTAATATCTTATTAGCATAGTTTATATTTAGAATTTTTTGTTATATTTATTAATTCTCCCACACTTTAGACCAGGGGTCCTCAAACTATGGCCCGGCCCCAACATGCGGCCCGCCAAAAACATTTGTTTTTTTTACTTCAAAATAAGATATGTGCAGTGTGCATAGGAATTTGTTCATAGTTTTTTTTTAAACTATAGTCCGGCCTTCCAACGGTCTGAGGGACAGTGAACTGGCCCCCTGTTTAATAAGTTTGAGGACCCCTGCTTTAGACCCTTTGCCACCTTTTGTTTTTGCCCAGTCACATTGTCTAACAATATATTTCTGTAATTTTTTTCCTTACCATATGATGGCCTGAAGGAGTTAGGGACATCTCTGATTTGTATATTTTATATGCACTTTGTATTCCCAATTCCCAAAATCTCATTTCCTCAAGTCATTGTCATTTCCACTGAGACTCTGCTCAGTAAGGCCAATAGTAACCTCTTAAATGCATATCTAACGGACTCTTTTAGGTACTTATTGTACTGGACCTCTTCGATACATTTGATGTTGGTTCTCTAGAAAACTCTCAACTCCCTGGACTTTCTGCACACACAGTCTTCTAGTTTTCCTTCTGTCCCTGTGACTGTTCCTTCTTGGTCTCCCCAGTGGGATTTTTTCCCCTACAAATCTTGGGGTTACTCAATGTTCCATTTTCAGTCTATTTTCTCATCCTAAGTGCTATTATCCATTCTTTGTTTTAAATCTTACCTATGGGCTGACAGCTTCCAAATACCTCTCGTCAGCCCTGGCCTCCCTGCCCCCCAGGTTTAGGCTATTCAACATTTCCCCACAGATGTGTCATAGGTATTTCAACCTTAACATGGACAACAGTAATGATCATATCCCCACAATTTTTGTTTAAGGTTTCACACAGAACCCATGCCTCCCTCTCTGGACCCTCCCACTTCTTATCAATCACTAAGTCCCGACTTTCCCTCCAAAATATTATCTCAACATTCCTCATTCCCTCTGTCTTTATTCTAATTCCAGCCCATGCTGTTTCTCTCATGAACTACTGCAGTAGCCTTTTATGAATTGAATTGTGTCCCCTAAAATTCATATGTTGAAGTCCTAATCCCAGTACCTCAGAATGTGGCTTTCTTTGGCAATGGGGTCATTGTGGAGGTAATAAGCTAAGGTGAAGATGGACCTCGAATCCAATATGACTCTCGTCCTTATAAAAAGGGGAAATTTGGACACAGACACACCCACAGGGAGAATATCGTGTAAATACTGACGTTATGCTGCCATAAGCCAAGGAATTACTAGAAGCAGAGAGGCCTAAAACAGATCCTTTTCTATCTCCATCAGCTGAGTTTTGCCGACACGTTGATCTCAAACTATTAGCCTCCAAAACTGTGAGACAATAAATTTCTGTTTTCTAGGCCACCCAGTTTGTGGTTCTTTGCTATAGCAGCCCTAGGAAATGCATACAGGTGCCCTTTCCTATCTTGTTTGTCTCCAGTTCCCCTCCGATGCCTCACTACAGAGTGAGCTATCCCAACACACGTCTGGCCCTCCCAGCCCCCAGATTAAAACCTTTCAATGCTTTCTCCACTCCACTGTTTACAGAATATTCTGGTTTACTTAGTGTAGTTCACCAGGCTCTTGCCTAACTGATTCACACTTTCCTCTCCAGCAGTGGAGAACAGCTGGGCTGCTCCTAAACACAGGATGCCATTTCAAGCTGTTGACCTTTGCCTATTTCCCCAACTCTAATGCCCACGCCCACACCTACCTATTTTATCTGATCCTTTAAAATTTAGTGCAGACATTCTCAGGTGACCTCCCCTGATATTCCCCCAACCCCACCCTGCACCACCAGCACCCGTTTCCTGGTATGGTAGGTGACTTCTCTCTGCTCCAGGCATCCTCTGCATATCTGACTCAAAATAGTTTCTGTGTTTTATTAAAATGATCTCTGCATCTGTTTGCCCAACTAAATTGTGAATTCCTAAGCTTTCTGGAACAGTGTGTGGGGACATAAACAAATATACTTAAAATAAGATCAATTCTCCAAATAGTTGGTAGGGGGTGAAATAAGAGACAGGTGTCTACGGTGTACGGTGAGTTATGGGTAGTTTGGTGTTACTCTCCAAAATCAGGATGCTCGTTATCGCCAAAGCTTCTTCTATCTCTTGCTGTTTTACACTCAGAGAAGTGGGGGCAGGAGGTTGGGGAAGCACAAAACCAAGATTCCCCCACCCCTCCAAGCCTCACCATAATCCTTGCAAAGAATGCCGAACTGGCCCGTACCAACAAGTCATCCTATAAAAATGGCTCATTGCCCTTCATCTCATGCCCTGAATGCCGTGGGAGCTCCGAAGTCATGCAGCCTTTTGGGGGAGGGGGCAGGGGCCGTGCAGAATGAAGAAATACATTCAACACTAATGCCTGAATTCACTGAGATGCTTCCCACGCAGCTGAGCTCTCTCCCCTCCTCCCACCCTAAAGGCAATGCTGGCCCTCCACTCTCCCCTCCTTCACCTTTGAAAGCCCCAGTCTCTTCTCCAAATGCTTTCTTACCCTTCTGGTCTCCTACCTGTCTGGATCAGAAGAAGGTAGACAAAAGGAGTGAGGCGCAGGGCACTGAAGGCTCTGGACAGGGCTCCCCTTTCTCTCTTCATTTTGGGTGGCGTTCTCCAGCTTCGGCGCAGACAATTAGCATGATTTCTTCACTCTGGGCACGTCCCTTTGTACCACTCGGAGTTTCTCTGCCCGAGCACAATCCTGCCAACTTCTCTCTGAATACACAGAGCTCTGTGTGTTGCCGGACTTGTTCTTTCTTCTCTTTCAGACCTGGCATTTTCTAGTTTCAAAGCCCTACATCCCCAGTTTAGAAGGGGGTGTTTGCTTAGGAGATCATCTTCAGAGGGGGTGCCAATCAAATGGGTCCCGGGGGGCCATCAATTCTTCCCTGGCTGTGCTGAGAACCACTATGAGGGGCAGATGAGGATTTGGGCTCAATAGGGACTGAACTGGGACACACCCTAAATTGGACTTGTGTCCCAATCCATCCTGTCTCCACCTCATGCTCCTTGTTCCTGAGAAGGCAGGTGTATGCCAGGGGTAGGCCTCCAATACATTTTGAAGAGGGAGGGATAGGAGCTTTTCAAAGGCTGGGGAATGAGAGACTCCAGAGAACTGCTGAAAAAATGGAAACCCCTGTTCCATCCCAAAGGAAGGAGATTGGAACACGGCCTGAATTCGATTATTTTCATACCTGTCGGGTCCTAGTTGGGGTTCTCTGTCCTATCATAGAATCACGTAGATACTGAGGGCCTCTTTCCAGAAGCCACTCTGTTTATTCCTCTGCCTTTAGCTAATTTTCTCCAACATGTCAGAGCGAGGGCAAAGGTGACACCCTAACAGCCAGCATCCTGGGGTTCTGTCACCGGCTTCTCAGTCTGGTGGCCTTTTCTTGTCTCCAGGCTTTGAGGAGGAGAGTCCCTCTAGCTCCCCTGCCCCCTCATCGCTATGTCCACCATTCTCATGAGGGCTGTCAGTAGAATGTATGCTCACTAACTGTGCAGTCTTGAAAGCTGGCTCACAACTTTGTTAACCCTCAATTTCACATCTGTGAAATGGGGAAACAGTAGCTTCCTTGTAGGAATTGTTAGGAGGAATTGATGAAGTATGGTACAGTAGAATGCCTAGGAAATTCTTTGTTACAAAGATATTTTAAACTTTAAAAAAAGAACTTCTCCTCTGCTTTCTCCTCCTCTTTCTTCTTCTTCTTCTTCTCTTTCATTCCTGTAAGGAATCTTTATATCATGATGAGACCAAAGTTTACAGCTCCCCTCTTGGTAATCTCTAACACTGTCTTAGTTTTGCAATAGTTGCCTCTCAAAATATTCTTTTTACATCCTGGAGAAAGCTCGAGTCCACCAAGTTTCTAGAGCGAAAAACCCATTGTGTAGTCCAATGAGTCAAAGGATGGGGAGAAGAGTTGGGAAGCATTGGCTTTGAACTTCACAAAGGAACTCCAAAAATCATTCTGATTTATATAAATAAGATTTTTTCCGTCTGTATTTTTGTGTCTTTAACTTTTCCCTAGACAGCTCAAGGCACCTGTCCGTCTCTGAAAGAGTTATTGTTGTTTCAGCAGGTATGAAATGGAAAAGAGAAAGTCAACATTCAGCTTCTGACATAGTCTTTTAGAGGCAGTAGCAAGACGAAAGGCTTGAAAGCCAAACTCTGTAAGGGACAAAAGGATATTTTAATTTCTTTTATCTACCCCCTTGAAATATCATAGAACAACAGCCTGTGGACTGGATAACAGAGTTCTTCTACAGGACTATAGACAAATGGCCTCTTTTGTCTGTGAAGGCCAGGCCTTAAGGCTTATTGTCTGAGGGTACAAAGAGTATATGATGTTCAGGAAATAGTCTGAGGTCTGCCTTTTTTAGCCTGAAGACCGTGGAAAGAAAAATGTGACAGAGGAGCCCAGCTGGTGTGGCTCAGTGGATGAGCGTTCGATCTATGAACCAGGAGGTCATGATTCGATTCCCCATCAGGACACATGCTAGGGTTGCAGGATCAATACCCAGTGGGGTGCATGCAGGAGGTAGCCAATTGGTGATTCTCTCTCATCATTGATGTTTCTATCTCTCTCTCTCTCTCTGAAATTATATATATATACATATATAAATTTTTTTTTTTAATGTGACAGAGGAAGACTGAAGAGGGATGTAAAGTCTCAACATCCCCCCTTTCCCTGCCCTAGAAATGAACTTTCGGCTTATACCCACGCAGAATGTGTAAATGCTTCAAAGTGCCCACAAGCTCCCTTGAGAAGACCCGGAGATACTGAGAGGGTGAAGAACCTACAGAGGGCTGACTTGGAGCAAAAGGGCCACACTATGCAGGCAATGACTGGGGCCACCAGCTGCCCTGGTGGGAGTCATACATATAGTTCATCAGAGACCAGTGGGAATCCTGAGTCTACATAAGTCCATGCACTGTCTCCTTCTGTTGCTATAAGGTCACCGGAGCCACCTCACCTATACTACCCCCACCCTTCTTAGACAGGAGCTGGGTTGGGGAGGAAGTGAATCACGGATTAAGCAATTGCCAGAGTTATCCAAGCAGAGACTTAGCTTCCTTCAGAGGATGTTAAAGTGGTTGGTCAAACTGAGCTTCTCAGGATGGATGAACATTTAGTTTCCTTTGCTGCCCTGGGGGTGGGAAGCTCATGGGAAGATCAGAGCAGTTGCAAAGGCACAAAGGTACTACAGTTCCTTTGCACGTCTGAGTGTAGCAGGACCCATTCTGCAGTCCTCTTTCAGGTCTTTTTAAGATGAGTAGACCTATGGAAGTTCATATCGTCTTCTTATGTGCTTTCTCTCCTAGTGAGTAGAGAGCTCTTCGATTGAAAGACTGTGTCCCACTGGTCTCTGTAGCCCTACTGCCTCATGCAGGGCAGGAAACATAGTAGGTGCTCAGTAGAGTTACTGACTATTGAATGGACGAGAACTCGAGGGAGTTTCTCAAGAATAAAGAACATGGATAGATGTCCTTCACAGATATAAATGGAGAGAATAAAGAACAACTGTGAGAGGAATAGAGGAGTGAGAGAAGGGAGGGCAACAAATAATGACTGCCGATGACAGACCAGGGGCAGGAAACATAGTAGGTGCTCAGTAGAGTTACTGAATATTGAATGGACGAGAACTCGAGGGAGTTTCTCAAAAATAAAGAACATGGATAGATGTCCTTTACGGATATAAATGGAGAGAATAAAGAACAACTGTGAGAGGGAACTGGGACAGAGGAGTGAGAGCAGGGGGGAGGGCACCAAATAATGACTGCCGATGACAGACCACTTTGTGAAGACACGAGACACCCCTTTGTGAATTCCCAGAAGTAACGAATTCCCTTTGAGGGGGCCATTGATCCAATAGGCTGTAGGCAATTGGGTTACAGAGACGTAAGTCAACAGTCAAGCCAACTTGTTCTCACACATAACACGTAACATTGACCTCAGCTGTCCTTGCTTATCTTGTTTTATCTTTCCATGTGTTCTGTTTTTTTTTTTTTTTTTCCTGGATGTCTGTCCCATATAATTGTTGACGATGTGGGCTGTGTGTTCTTTTTTTTTGACATCCTGATTATAAACATTACCGTTCTTAACTTCAAAAGTATATTTATACTTGTCAGTCTGCCTGTCTGACTTTTGAATCAGAAAATGTGGTTACTGCCGCCATCTCCTCATTATCCTGGGAAATTCCCTGGGGGAGAAACGGTAACTCTCCACTCTTACAGGTCTCCTCGCAGGGCCTGGTTTTGAATTCTGTATAATGTGGCTGCTGAAACAATGGTGTGGACAGATGCTTGACTGACAGCGGTAATGGCCTTGCTTAGCCAAGGCCATGCCCCTTCCTCCTCTGAGCATTTCAACAGATGCATTTTCAAGGGCATTGTCCTCTTCTGAGCAGCACAGGCCGGTCGGTCCTCCTGGCCCTTCTGCTGCACAGAGTTGCACACTCCTATTTGGCACCTCCTCTGGGGCTCTGGGATCCTGACTCCTCATCCCTGCACCCATGGCAGCCCTGGCCTGCTGAACTCAGACCTCTGTGCTGAGCACTCAGATGTGTTCCTGAAGCTCAGAATGGAGCCCCGACACACACACACACACACACACACACACACACACACACACACGATATGTAAATAATGACCAATTTTATTTTATTTTCCATTTATCCCCCCTATACCCTCTTCTACCTCCACCCACTCCCCTCCCCCACACTGTTGTCTGTGTACATGAGTTTCCTTTTTTTTTCTTTTTTTGCTCAATACTTTCACCTCCCCCAACATCCACCTCCCCCAAGAGCTGTCTGCCTGCTCTCTATGTATGAATCTGTCTCTATTTTGCTTGTTAGTTCAGTTTGTTCATTAGATTCCACATATGAATGAAATGATATGGAACTTGTCTTTCTCTGTCTTATTTCACTTAGCATCATATTCTCCGGGTCCATCCAGGTTGTCGCAAAGGGTAAAATTTTCTTCCTTTTTATGACTGAGTGGTATTCCATTGTGTAAATGTACTATAGCTGTTTTATCCACTCATCTACTGATGGACAATTAGGCTGCTTCCAAATCTTGGCTATTGTAAATAATGCTGCAATGAACACGGGGATGCATATATTTTTTTCGAATTAGTGGTTCAGGTTTATTCGGACAAATTCTCAGAAGTGAAAGTGCTGGGTCATAAGGCAGTTCCGTTTTTAATTTTTTGAAGTATCTTTGTACTGCGTTCCCCAGTGGCTGCACCCATCTGCATTCCCACCAACAGTGCAAGTGCACAAGGGTTCCCTTTTCTCCACACCCTCTACCGTTAGATTTCAGGATGTCCCCACCCACTTGGCCTGTTCCTTTGTTCCCAGGCTCCAGGAAGAATGTTCTGGCACTGACATTACTCGAGAGGTTTTGGCCTTACTAATGGCATAACATCAGTGGGGATTTTTATATTTAGCATCCCCCCCCCACCTTTTCTTCATTCACTTCCTGCTATTGAGTCATATCTGTGCCTCCTTCACTAAATTGTAAATAATTTTTCATAGCAGAATGGAAAAAATCTTCCAAAAATGACACCCAAATCCCTCTTGTTCAAACAGAGGGAACTGTCTTTAGCAAGAAAAATATGTAGGTATGCCATATGAAGTGGAAGGTAAAACACAAGTAGTCAAGGAACAAAAAGATAAACCACTGTGCATTAGAAATAAACAGGACTTTGGTGATGGGGAAAGATTAGGGGAGAGAAATGAAGAAGGGGAGAGGGAATGAGAGAGCAACTTGGTGGGGAGCTGAAGAAACCTGAACAGCTTGGCAGCCCTGCTACACTAAAAAGGTGAACAGCTTGGCAGCATTGCTACACTAAAAACCCTTCCTCTTCCATCTTCTGAAAAGTTCAGTACACACAAATGCAGTATGTGTGCTTGTTTCTAGCTGATCGAATATAGCTAAGATGATAGGATAGCTACTCCCTTGATTAGGTGATATGATGTAAGACCCAGACTTAGCAGACGAGAGAGAGAGAGAGAGAGAGAGGTGAGAGAGATTGTTCAGTTAATAAAATAACTGCCATGGTATGAAAGGGCCACATGGCAAGCAATGGCTGGCAGCCTGGTTGCTGAGAGCAACCCTTAGCCAACAGCTGGCAAGATAATAGGGACCTCACTCCCACAATCACAAGAAAGTGAATTCTTCTAACAACCAAGTGAGCTTGAAAGAGGACCCCAAGCTCCAGAAAGGAATGCCCACCAGCCAACACCTTCACTGAGGTCTTTTGAAACCTTGAGCAGAAGACCCACTAAGCTGTGCCTGTACTCCTGACCCACAGAAACTGTAAGATAATAAATGCATGTCCGTTCAAGATGCTTAATTTGTGGCAATTTGTTATGCAGCATAGAAAACTAATAGAGGAGAGCCTGGCTGGTGTGGCTCAGTGGTTGAGCTTTGACCTACGAACCAGGAGGTCATGGTTTCATTACCGTGGTTGTGGGCTCGGTCCCCAATGTGGGGAGTACAGGACCTTCATCATTGATCTCTCTCTCTCTCTCTTCCTCTCTTAAATCAATAAAAACATATTTTAAAAAAAATACACGACATCCAGTTAAATCGGTATTAAAGATGAACAATAAATAAAAAAAGAAAAGAAAACTAATACAGGAGAGAGAGAGAGAGAGAGAGAGAGAGAGAGAGAGAGAGAGAGAGAGATATTATATACTGAGAAAGCACGAGTTGGGAGTCAAAGATTGTCCTGACCTAGGACTTTGGCAATTTGAATATTGGTACCTTAGTTTGGGTTCCTCCAGAGGCAGACCCTGAGATAAGAAGTTAGTTTATTTAAAAGGTGATCCTAGTAAACCAGGTAGTATATTGGGGAAATGAGACATGGAAGGGAAGGAAACCAATAAAGGCTACATATCAATCAAATGAGCATCATGGGCAGCAACAGCTTAATCCTTTCAGGGAACTCTGGGAGATAATGAAGACTATGCCTCAGAGTTATCCCATCCAAGCGGCCAGGGAATTGGGCTATTTAGTCACCATCAGATGTAGCCTGAGGGCACCTTCGGAGGGGAGGGGGGAAGCTAATTCCTCAGACTGCTGGCTGATTCCCACATGGAGGCATCTTGTCCACACCTTCCCTCCTCTAACTTCTGTGTGTGTGTGTGTGTGTGTGTGTGTGTGTGTGTGTGTGAGCTACTCCTCATTTTACTGTCAGGCACTTTATACCTATTTAATTCTCCCAATACTCCTTTTAGGTAGAGATTATATCTTCATTTTACAAACGGGAAAAGCTAAGATTTAAGAACTTAGTCACTTGCAAAGGTCATCTAGCTACTACGTGGCAGAACTTGGATTAGAAACCCTGTTTGAACACCAACAGAGCTTAAATAGGTCAGAGTTGGACTACCTCCCTAACTCCTCAGTGGGACGTTCCGTGTGTGTGTGTGTGTGTGTGTGTGTGTGTGTGTTTCAGGCTTGGTCTAACCTTTTACCCGTAGCCTTTACTCTCTGACTAAGCTACATGATGGAAGGTGGCCTTTCTACTCCTTGTGGCCCCTATTACAGCTGAAGTTATTTTTGATTCTTTGTTCCATAAGCCTATATGTGAACGGTGTTAGAGCGGTCCCTACCATAAGTTCGAGAGAGAGAGAGAGAGAGAGGATCCAGGAGGCCAAGCCAGCCAGAGAGTTTGTAGAGCTGTGGCATTGCCTGGGAAACAAGGAATGTGTGAGGCTTTGTACTGAGGAGGCAGAGCCTTGCTGTTCTAGTAGCCACCAAAAAAGACAGATTAGCTAGCTCTCTTTGGAACAAAACAAGTTTTTTTGTGGCCCTGGAGGAATGGCCCTCGTGAGGGCATTTTTTTCTTTCCTTTTTCTTTTTTGAAGTTCTCCTAGGTAGCCCCGATCTGGCTTGCTGTTGAGAAACATCAAATAGAAAGTGGAGATGGAGTCAAAGCCTTCCCATAGCCTCATCCTGAATGTTGGTTTTGCTGCCTGCAGATTTCTGTAACTGTGAGTGGTCACTCAGAGGAAGAGCATTCTGCAGAGAGATGATGTCTCAAAAGGTATGGGTTTGTTGGGAGAAATATGTGATCAGGGTGCGGGGTGGCATGGGGTCCTGGGTGCGTTTCTGTAAGGCAGAGGAGGTGCTCCCGTTTCCATACTGGAAAACTGAAAAACATCAAAGCCTTTTATGCTGAGAGTAAATATTTGATTTCTGAATAGAATTCCAGCCCCCTCGGAAACTGAGGGGAACTCAGGCTTGTGTCCATGGTTGCTGAACGTGCCCTATTCAGCAGCTCTCCAGAGGAACAAAGAGGAGAAATTAATTGGCTTTCAAGTGATGGAAAGATCCAGTTTGCTGACCTATTTAAGCTGTAGTGAGGGCATTCTAGAGAACATTTCTGGAGTCCTGTTCTTCTAAAGCTTCAGTGCTTAAATAAAAACAGAGTGAAAAATCATGGGGAAGCCACAAATACCCCCAACTCATGAAAGGCTTCATTGTTTTCCTTCTCCTGGATTTTCAGATGGTGTCCTCCCACCAACCATGTCCGGGAAGGATTCACTCCCATCCTCCATCTCTCGCCTCTTTTCAAAGAGGGAGGGGCCGAAGTGGAAATCAGCTAGTCTGCTGTGTGAAGAGCACTCCAAGTCCCAGAGATTAGTAATGTTGCTGGTGGAAATGGGGTCCTTCCACAAAGTAGCAAGAAAAGCATTTCCAGGAACCGACGCATGGGAGGGTGTAGTGGTAAGGTTGGGGTACAAATAAAAGACTGCCGCTAGGTCCATCATGTCTTATCTCCATCCATCCCACGTGGAAGAAGTCCAGCCTTGTTTTCATCAAGCCCAGAAGAAGGGCCAGGGTCCAGAAATTCTGTACCATTGGTTCAATCCATGCCAAAGCTTAGCCCAGTTCCGTCTCTGACCCCGTCCAGCTGGCTTAGTCTCTGTTCCCAGCTGTGCTCCAGCCAATGATGCCTTGCTGTTCCCAGGTTCACGCTTGGGCCCTCACTTGGGCCCCCATGTAACGCATGTTACAGAGAGAGAGAGGGAGAGAGATATCTTATATATGCATAGTAGAGGCCCCTTGGCCTGATCTGTGCCCTCTCCCAATCTGGACCCCTCCGGGGATGTCAGAGAGCCCTTTCGGCCTGATCCCCACAGGCCAAGCTGAGGGACCCCACCAGTGCACGAATCCGTGCACCGGGCCTCTAGTATCAATGGTTCTCAACCTTGGCTGCACATTAGAATCACCTGGGAATCTTTTTAAAATCCTGATTTCTGGGCCTCATCCTCCGGAAATTCTGTTTCTTTGTTACTAATGTTGTGGCCCCAGCCCATAACAAAGAAACAGAATTTCCGGAGGATGAGGCCCAGAAATCAGGATTTTAAAAAGATTCCCAGGTGATTCTAATGTGCAGCCAAGGTTGAGAACCACTGATCTGTATGATTACCCACCCCTAACTTTTGAGCTTCTATCTCAAAACTCTCCCTCTCTTACTCTGCACCAGTCACACCAGCCTTCTTGCTAGGCTGGGCCCAAACACCTGGGAGTGATTGTACTCGCTGTTCCCTGTACCTGAAACGTTCTTTTATAAAACTCTTCCTTGGAGGTTACAGTAGCTTGCTCCATTACCTCTTAAGACTTTTTGCATTGGAGTCTTTGCCGGAGGGTATCTCAGTGAAGCCTTCTCTGCTCGTCCTATCTAAAACTTCATGTCTCCTCCACGGACACACTTTATTTTTTTTTTCTGCTTTTTGGGACAGTCTCCATGTAGGATACGGCAACACGTCAGCAGTTTCTTTCTTTTTTTAAAAAAAAATATTTTATTGATTTTTTACAGAGAGGAAGGGAGAGGGATAGAGAGTTAGAAACATGGATGAGAGAGAAACATCGATCAGCCGCCTCCTGCACACTCCCCACTAGGGATGTGCCCGCAACCAAGGTACATGCCCTTGACTGGAATCGAACCTGGGGCCTTTCAGTCCGCAGGCCGTCGCTCTATCCACTGAGCCAAACTGGTTACGGCTCAGCAGTTTCTTCAGACCAACGCGCGCGGCCGGGAACACTACACAGCGACCCCGCGCACCCACTCCTTTCCACCGGGTTCCTGGCGCCTTCACAAGTCCCGCCCCCTCAGCGGAAGTGACGGACTAGGCCCGAACTCCGCCCTCACGCCTTATCCGCCCGCCCCCGGGTAGTCCGGAAGGGGCGGGTTCAGAGAGGCTGAGGGGCGGGGCGCCCCACCGGAAGTGGCAGTTAACCGGAGGGGGTTCGTTTAGCGTCCCGGGTAGCGTTTGAGTTTGGCGAGTTGCGGGCGCTGTCTCAGCGGTAGCGGGACCCCAAGGCCTCAGAAAGAGGCTTCTCTCTGTCCTGGGACCCCCTCCTCATTCAGCGTCTTCCCCGTAACCGGATACGGATTATTTGGACTCTCCCTCAGGCCC